GCCACCCGTGGCTCTGTCCCACTTCCAGCCCTGGGTCCCATGCTCCACCCTGGCTAGGCAACGCCCCCAGGCCCAGCCCCTGCCCCTGCCCCCCTCCCATGGGAGCCTTAATCTGCCTCCCCCCATAGACTTACCTACAGGCAGCTGGGGGAACTGCCTGGGGCTGTATTAGTGCCCACATGCATGTGTGTGCATGCCAACATGCATGTGTGTGCATGCACACACGTGGCACCCCCTGCCTCCCATTCTTCCTAGGCACAAGCAGCCCCTTGCAGGCTGATAGTCTTCCTGTCTGCAAGGGGAAACCCACCTTTTCCCGTATTTTTCCATGGTGAACAGAAAACCCAGATCCATGCATGGTACTGAGAGTCTGGGACAAATGCTGTCCCAGAATCATGCAGCCTGGGACCAGGACTTTGTTCACATTCGGGGACTGTCCCGCCCAGTTGGGGATGGGTGGTCACCCTACCCCCTTCCCAAGGGGGACCAGGGCTCTTGGGCTCCCATGTAATCAGCACCTATGGTGAGGAACTCATATGAATATAATTTCCATTGTACAGACTGATAAAAGGAAGTGTAAAAAGATTAAGTTTGTTCTTCAATACAAATGTCACAGAATGGTTAAGTGACTTGCATTGGACCTACCTAGTAAGTCAGTGGCATGGCTGGAAACAATACAACTCCACATCTTCAGACAACTACACAGAGTCCTGACCCCTAGCTCCCAGCACTAACCACTAAGCAGTCTTCTCTAAAACTAAGCCCACCTTCTAATTGTCACCAGGAGGGTGGGAAAATGAACTAACCAGCTGCCTGGCACATCCTTGGGGGTGTTGAACTCACACCTCCTTGCAGACCGGATATGGATGGAGCAGCAGTAGCAGCCAGGAGGTTATCACAGGCGCGATTTGCCCCATACTGCTGACACATCCCAAATGGGGTTGTGTACCCGGGATTTCAGCTATGTGCTCCCCTCTCCCCACCAAAACTCCCAGACCCTCTGCGAGCCCTGCAGAGTGCCTATTTAACACTCATGTCTTAGACCTTTTTGTACCAATTTACCTTTGGCTTGAAACTTGCAACCTCGTGAGATTGAATTCCAGTTTTGGTAACCAGTTTGCAGCAAAATAGAGTCTATTTTGTGTGGAGGCTGCTGTCCTTCTCCATGCTTAATTTTTTTTTAAAGCTGTGGCCAGGTACAGGGTGTCTTTGGTTTTATTTCCATCAAGCACTTGGTAGCTGCTGAGATGGGGAGGGTGAATGATATCTAGGACTCCTTGGGTATACAGTTGCCTATGAATGTAGAGGACTTGAATCTGTATGACCTGAGAGGCCCTTTCCAGTCCTGTGTTCGTGTGATGTGTACAGGTGCTAAGGGTACAGGTGGGTCTGCAGACATTATATCAGACATGGCACGGGCTTTATTTTTGGTATGTGACTCCTTTTGAAGCCAGCTGGAACTCTGTGCACAGATGAGTTCAGGGCTGGATTAATACATAGGCAAACTAGGCACATGCCTAGGGCCCTGAGCTGCATGGGGCCCTGGTCCTTCCCTCTGGAGCGGCAGTGCAAATGACCCCATCTACCTCCCTTCCTTTCCCTTCCCAACACTGCGGTGGCTGCTTCCTAGCAGCAGCACCTGGTTGGGGAGGGGGGTCTCAACCAGCCTGAGGCCGGCAAGTTAGTTTGCCTAGGGCTCACTAAAGGGTTAATTCGGCCCTGCACGAGTCATGCAGGATTGGGCCCCTGGCAAACAGGCGGATGCATGCTGGACTCTGAATTGCATCTCTTTCCTAGTTCTTTTCCTTTCCAGACGTGTTTGACTGCAGGGAAGTGGAAGTGGGAGATGGGAAGGGGGTGGAGGATGTCTACTGCTGAAAAACAAGTTGTTGATTCTTGAGCAGAACATATGCTTCTTCGTAAGGAGTCTGATGTTTTTCAGACATGTTCCAGGTGGCTGGTGGGTTTGGATGAGTAACTCCGAGAGAGAAATTTGTTGCAGAGATCCATTGGTTCTCCCCACCTACAGATGACCTCCACCCCCCCACTAAATAAACAGTATCCCTTCACCACAAACCAAACACATCAGGGTTTGCTTCTTTTTTTTTTTTTTTTTTTACCTTGAACTTTCCAGATCTTGCATGGGAGGAGGTGGGAGGAAGACGTGGGACTTGGGAAGGCCAACGTGCCAATTCTTGTCTTCATTATTTTTAGCGAAGTCAGTAAAGTTGGATGCAAATACCTTGGCAGTTAGAGATTTGGTGTACGTCCTCTGAGGAAGGACTGGCCTGGATTACAAGGGCGCGTGATCTCTGTCTGAGTGGGGCTCTCTGTCTTCCCCTCTGATCCTGAAACTAGAGAATCATGGAGAAAGCTGCTTGTTGATGAATTAACCGTGTTTATCCAAATCCAAGATGACCCCAAAGTTAAGATGATGCCCCAATAATTAGATTCTGTAAATGGAAATCTTATATATTTGTTATAATTCCCATGTATAGAATCTGATGATTGGTGGGTTGCCTTAAATTCATCCCCACCGCCACTGCAGTGGCAGGGGGTTGTAGGTGGGGATCTGGCACTAAGGGGGTGGGTGGTGGAAGGAGCAGTGACAGAGAGGCAGTAGAGGGGCAGGTGGTGTGGAAGCAGTAGGGGCAGGAAGGGGGAAGATGGTAGGGAAAAGAAACTTGCCCTCTACTGCCTGCCCCCCACTTACCCGCACCCTTGCACTTGCCCCACTTGGCAGCCTCCGGCCTCCATTCCCTTTCCCCCTCTCTCCCACTTGTGCTGCTTCTTCACCCCCATAGCTTCAGCCCCACTCCCCTCTCCAGCCCTCCCTCCCTTCCCCACCCTGCTTACCCTCCCTGTAGCACTGGCAGGCTGGGACGTAGAGCATAGCCCCAACCTGGTCCCATAGCAGCAATGTAGAGCTGGCACCACTGCTACAGGGCTGGGCTGGGGCCATGCTCCGTGCCCTGGGCTGCAGTGCGGACAGAGCCTGCTGGCATTAGAGGTGGGGCAGAGGCTGCTGGGAGGGGGTGAGTGGGGAAGGAGGTGGGGAGAGGCAGGGGATGCGGAAGTGATGGAGCTGCAGGCAGCAGCTGTGGTTTCAGCCCCGACCTGGGGTTGGGGCCAGAGCTACAGCAGCTGCCTGCCCCACCATCACCGCATACTCAAGTCCAAGACCCAGGGGCTTTTTTCCCTCATGTTAAATGGTGGGGTGGGGGGTACCTTGCCTTGCAACTGAGTAAATGCAGCTTAAACCACCTTGTGCATATAGTCTGATGAACTGGAGGAGGTTTAAACTAGACGTAGAGAGGGGTGGAGGCTGCATTAAATGAACATGTTGATGTCAAGGGAGGCATGAGAGAATGAATCACGTGAGACATGCCCCCGTTGATATACTTTCCCTCTAAAGCAAGGGTGGGCAAAATGGCAGATTTGGCCAGCAGCTGGACTCCTGTTCCCAGTTGCCCTGCCCACATTGCTGGGGCCAGTTTCCCTGGAAACCTCAGCAGCAGCAGGGCCAGAGTTTCCATGGAGACCAGCCCCAGCAGCTCTGGCAGGGTGCATGGCTGGGCGAGGATCTGCTCCAGGGTCGGGGCTGGGATCTTATGGCAGGCAGTGGATTCCAGTTTTGCCCCAGCTTCGGACCATGGTTTCACTGCTGCAAGATCTGAGCCCTGGACCAGCTCCGTGCCCAGGCACGCGCCCTGCCAGCGCTGCTGGGGCCAGTCTCCATGGAAACCCAGGCCCCATGCTGTCACAGCCCCCCTGCTGCTGGGGTCTCCATGAAAACGAGCTGCATCAATGTGGGCAGGGGCTGCTGGGAAATGGAGTTCACCATGGGTCCAATATTGGGCTAGATGGACCATTGGTCTGACTACACCACTGTTGCCTCAGCTTGGTTTCCATTATATTTTGGGAAGCCAGCGTGGATGAAGGGAGCCTAGCCTGGCATTCTCCTTATATGAAGATGTTCAATGTGTCCCTGGGTTTGGTGCAAATAAATTGAGAAGTCTGAATTTATATGCACTTTGCTGCTGTGTGCATGCAGCGCACCTTGCAAGCCTCACATCACCCTTTTCCTGTATTGGGAAGGCTTGAGAAAATCTTCACCCCAACCACGCAGATTTAAATGAATGCAAATTGTTGCTACTGTCTTCAAAGATGGAAGGTAACCTTCAGCTGGTGTCGGTAGCATTTAGTGTCTGACCACATTGGCTGATTTGTCATAAAAAAACACTGGGAGAGGCTAGAAGGGAATGGAGCAGAGGAGGACGTGGGAATCATCCTGGAGCAGAGCTCAGCACCATTATAACACCAGGATGCCAAATTAAGACTGCCACCTCTGGCTTGCCTTAGCACTGGGCAGTTATTAGATATTCCACCACTACATGGTGTATTTTGTGAAAAACTTAATAACAAGACCTATAAACTTCTGTTTTGGCATGGGGAACAGACTGGACAAAACCCCTTCCTGGGCTGGATTTGATCCATAGGTTGCTGACCCCTCTTCTAGAGAATTTCTTCTAGAATTGCATTATTTCTAAAGGGGCAAAATGCATTTTTTGAAATTGTAAATTCAACTTTTGTTCGGTTGCTTTGCTTCAAAAAAAGTTAATAAAAGCCTCTCTCCCAAGCCATGGGCGGTGTGTCTGGCTATTAAGCAAATCTGGAACAATTGTAGGACTCTGGGACATTTTGATTATTCTGTTCTGTGCATGCCTTTCAAAACTGGGGGCTTTTTGCCCTGGAAGAAAGCCAGATTTAGTAAGTACAGAGACTGAGGCATGGACCATCCCTTTAAATCTCACTGGCTATGCAGCATTTGCTGCAATGTTCTCTGTGATGGAAACTAGGGGGAAGACGGGCTTGAGGCTGTCTAGTTAAAGTGAGTTGTAATAACTGTGTCATGACTAAACTAAGTTTAACATTTTACCTGTGTCCAGTTCGGTCATTTGGCTGCTTTGTGTAGACTTGTGCTTTCTGAGTATTGCCAAGCCCGTTTGCAGTCAGACAAAACTTGGAGAGCAGGGGCTGGATCCTGCCTTTAGCATTAGAGACCCATAGTGCTTGCTGTTTTGCTAGCTTCCCCCTGCATACCTCTGCCAGCGCATCTCTGCCCCCTGCATACCATTGCCAGGGGCATGAATTTTGACATTTCAGATACCAAGTCTTTCCCAAGCAGAGTCAGAGTGGGGGCAGTTCCCTGCCATTGGGCATCTCTTTTAAAGTCTTTGTGCCATAGTTTCCTCAAAGAAAATGAGGCTCTAACACTTGATTCTTCTGGATCCTTGGGGCAAAAGTTGCTGAGTTAAATGCACTATATAGCAATGGTATTAATATCCATAAATGTTTCCTTTCTTTGTTTCAGATTGGACTGATTGTGACCTTGATAGCTACCGTTATAACCATGTCTTCTATAGCACAGCTTTGGGATGACGAATGGGAGATGGTAGTTATTTCATTGCAAGTAAGTTGGAATATTTTGGGCGGGTTTTGGGGGCAGGGGGAGGTACTTCATTTCAAAGAACAGAGCTTTTCCTGTAGCTTTCAGTACCGAAGGGGAAATCGTGCTCCACCGAAGCAAATAGCAGACTTCCCCCTGGCTTCTCCGAGACTAAGGTCTCATCTCAAGTCTCCATCTTCAGAGCTGAACTTTATAGCGAGCAGTAGGAATTGCTGATGTTGGGCGTGATCCAAAGCCATTTGAAGTCGACAGGAGTTCTGCAAACTTGATGAAATGCCACTGTGGTTGTCAGTTAGATGGATGCATCCTGACTGCCGGGATCCTAGGTATACAGCCTGGACCTGTAAAATTCCTCCAATCTGATGGGGGGATTTTGCATTTGGACAGGAACATGTTTAAAAAAAAAAAAACCCCAAAGACTTTTGCTTTTTGAGGGGCCAGTGAAATGTGTACGTTGTAGAGTCTGAATGCGGAGCAAAACCAGTTCCCAAGATTTTGTGACTTTGATGTTGCTTTTGGAAGCAGCTCTCGTCTCTGTCGTTTTTTCTGTTCCGTTCCCCAAAAATGTATTTGGCGCATCTTGTTTGCAGGAAAGGGTTTAATGAGTTTCACGTAAGGTTGGTTCTGTCTTTTGGAAATACCCCGATTCACGGACAAAAGAAGAGGTGAGGGTAATGTCTTTTTATTGAGCTACCTATATAGTAGGGGGAGAGGTTAGGCGAGCTTTCAGGCACAAATCTGCCTTTCCTTGCTTCACAAATTTTGTTTCATACCAAAACAGGAAAGAAAAAAAAAAAAGGCATTCGTATTCACATTTGACTGCTTACGTGTCTTGGGGTGATTTCTCCCTGGTTTCTAAAGCTTTACCCAGGCAGTTAGGAGAAACAGGACTGTGTCTAAGCTAACTAACTGTGCTCACAGGCAATGCAGAATCAGTGGTGATATAGCAAAGCGTATAGTTCAGACAGACTATGATACGCTCAAGGTGGTTTCACCCTTGTGTGTTAAGCTGATGCTTTCAGGCAGCCTCTGTTTCTGTCCTTGCTGGGTCCTGCTTCATAGACTCCCAGGAGGTCGTGTAAACCAGCCCCCCTGCTCAAGGCAGGGTCACCCCAGCCACGCATTTATCTAACCTGCTTTTAAAAACATCAAACGAAAGTGGTCTCCACTCAAAGTTGTGGCATCTAAGGGCAAGCAGAGCCCAGATGCATCAAATGACTTGCCCAGAATAGCTGGGGACTGAGCCCAGTTCTAGCCCAGTGCTCTGTCCGCTAACTAAATTGCCCCTTGTTTCGGTTATAAATAATTTCCCCCCTCCATGTATTACTGGAGCACCTGGTGTCCCAATGATGCTAGGGGCTCACTTCAAAGGATACAGGCATCTGCTGAGAAACTTCTTGGGGCTTGTCTATGCTGACTGGAGGCCTGCTAGAAAGCGGCCCCCATCCATTCCACACACCCCCACCTCCCAGGCATCCGGCGATACACTGGTACTGAGCTTGTCCCAGGAGCTCTGTCTTAGCACAGGGCTGACCACACTTGGCTGCAGCACCTCATTTCTGGGAGCCAGCGTGCAGAGCAGGAGTGAGTGGGGAAGGTGTGCTTCTTGGTGTTGATGCAGAGGCAGTGTAGACAAGCCGTTGCTGTGCGGATGTCTTCTCCTTGGCAGAGCTGCACGGCGGTATAGCCCTGGGGACCAAACCATTTCTCATGCAACACTGGAAGGTGGAAACTGTTCACATCTGAGCCGCAGGGCAGGCACAAAGCTGATGCAGAAGGCTCAGAGTCTCTTTGGGCAAAGGGTGCCTAATTGGATTCAGTATGGGGTAGGCAGGGGCTTTGTGCGGTCTTCGGTGTCCAATTGAAAGAAGTTGCCTTAGGATAGTACTGGGAATAGAAGTCAGAACATTTTTCTCCTTGACTATCTAGAAATGTCCCCTTCAAGCCTCTTTATGGTGTTCGTGTTGTTTTTCCTAGGCCACGGCTCCATTCCTGCACATAGGAGCCCTTGCTGCAGTCACAGCCCTGTCCTGGTTGATAGCGGGGCAGTTTGCAAGAACGGAAAAAGCCAGTGAGTATCAGCTCATCTTCTCCTTGTTTGCTCCGTATTCTCCTGTCTCCTTACGTCCTGCAGAAAAAATCCTAGGCGCACACATGTTAAAGATCAATGGCTGACACCAAAGCAGAAGTCCACGACACTTTTTTTAAAGCCTTTTGTTCTATGTGATGAGGGAAGGGTTTGATGCTTGTACTTCCAGGTAGTGCTAGGGAAAGTCTAGCGACCTGTCGCTGTCAGAGCACGTTGTCCTTCCTCGTACAGCTTCATCACAGCACCCAGTCAACCCCAAATGGCTGATTGCCTCCCTCTCTTTTGAAATCATAACTACCTTCTCATTTCTGATGCTTTCATGTGCTTCATTTGCAACCAGAGAGCTGGTCCCAAGATGCTGGGTGCACATACCTACCTGGTGAGAGACATCCACCTTTTGAAGGATGTGCAAACTAAAGAGACAGCCCAACCAAAAGGCAGGCAGGGACCCAGAGAAGTTTTAAATATTTTTCACTTGGACATCGTTTTTCATCTGACCCCAGCACTCTTTCCTGCCCAGGGCAGGGGGTTGGACTCGATGATCTAATAGGTCCCTTCCAACCCTAAAATCTATGAAATTTCTGAATCCAGCTGATCTGCGGCAGAGCGGGGACCCCAAGTCTCTGGACTCCTAGTGACTGCCCCATCCATTGAACTAAACTGACTTTTATGCCCAGTCTGCCTTATCCCCTGGGCCTCAGGCCTTTGCCTGCCCTCCAGCATTCGCTCAGCATACATGGCACTAGTCTCCATTGTCTGCCTTAATCAGATAGCAAAGATATTTTCTCATGGGCACAGACATGCTTCCTAAAAAAATTACTAAGCCAATTTCATACAAATTATTCCAACTGGAATTTAAATCATTGTGAAATATGATCCCTGGAAGGATTTTGGCAGCATTGGCAAAAGATTACCAAGAAGTGGGCATTGAGCATCAGGAGGCAGTGATGGAGGGAGGGGAAGAAAATGAAAGATAGAAAGAATTTCAATATTAAAGGAGACTTCTCCAAAAGAGAACGTGGCATGGCTTAATTTACAAATAGAAATGGGGATGCTTTACCTGTTAGTATTCAGGGTATAATTACCCTGCCAGTCAAGATGGGCTAAATTCTCAGATAAGCCTATTGTACACGGTATGTGTTTTTTACATAATTCTTGGTACCGATTTCTGATTGAAATCTCTGAAGGCAGCTTCTGTGTATTGTACTTCTAAGTAAGCCGGAAAGGTGGCCTCACTCCACCTGTTACTTTTCTTTTAATAAAGCTTTGTAAGGAGCTTGATTCAGTAACTTTGCAGCATAGTAGACTGAAGCCCCTTTCATGCACAGGGTTCATCTATAAAAGGGATGATCCTGCTCTGATTAGGACACTGGACTAGATGACCTCTTGCAGTCCTTTCCACCCCTCCTTTTCTGTGATCACTTTACCCAGCCAGATGCAGCCATCTCTGGGGAAGAACACGGCAGCTGGTCAATGGTGCCAATTTGTATTATCCATCGGTGAAAGGGGATGCTGTATCCAAACCAAACTGCTGGGGAGACCAAAAGGGATGAGAACCCAAACCAGGGAAAGTTACATCTCTGCCCCCTGATCTTTTGGAAGTGACCATTACATCTGCAGCATCGTTAGCACCACCGTTGATCATTGTCCTGTTTCAGGCATCAGACTGTAGACATGCTCTTTATTTAAACGCAGGTTTTTCTTTTTTCCGAAACCTGCCACCCCAATTAATCCTATTTGTTTAACTCCAGTCATTTAAGAAGTTGTTCTTTTAGAACGTGCCTCCAAGGGTGCTTGAAAGTCCAGCTAGAAAACACTGGATTAAAAGAATTGGCTAAAGCAATGAAGAGGCAGGAGGAATGGTGTCAATTAATGAGGTGGGACTTGACCCCCATGGCTCAGAGCTTGAAAAGGGGAAGGAGCAAAAGTGGCAAGGAGAGAGGGAAACCACACAGTTTGCTTCCCTCTCCGCTGCTTAAAAATATTAACTAAAACTACTAAATCTTGCTAGCTTCATTTCCCCCTTAGCAGCTTAATGCCGTGCTCAAACAAATAAAGACTTCACTGTAGTAGGGGAATGATAATAAGATTTTTCTGATCACCTTGGTGTCATCATCAAATATGAACGTTCATTTCAGAAGTCAAGACATAGTTGGGAAAGCGAATGGTCCTTTACTGGTGATCTGCAGCATGCTAATGCCGCAGCTTGTACCAGACATCCACCTTCATTCTTGTCTTGCACCCGCTGGTGAATAATATGGGGATGCTCCGAGATACTAATGAGTTTATCCGCATGGAGACTTCATGCCGGGAAGAGCAGGTGTCCAGGTTCCACCATGTGAACTTCGCACGAGTGTTTGAGTGCGACTTGCTATGCACTGCCTTCTCTTGCCTTGACTCTTCATAGAGACCTTTTCATCCTCAGGTGTCTGCACAAGAGGTTGTGAGGGATGCGAGGGTGGATAATCATCCTCTCCTGACCGTATGTGGGCATCTACTTAAACCAGATGCTGGAATGGGTGAGACGCCTTCGTTAGAAGAACTCCTGGGAAATGTCCCTGGGGGAATTGGATCTAGTGGGGAAACCACTGGTAATGTTGTCTAAAGTGAGTTGCCATCCTGTTTGCCTAGGCCACGGGTGGGCAAAATGTGGCCCGGGGGCCAGATGCGGCTCGCCAGGCCATTGTATCTGGCCCATGGGGCCCCTAAAGAATTTAGAAAATTAATATTAATCTGCCCTGGGCTGCCTGTCATGCGGCCCTCGATGGCTTGCCGAAACTCAGTAAGCAGCCCTCTGTCCAAAATAATTGCCCACCTCTGGTCTAGGCCATCCAACAGCCACAATGCTTTTATGCTCACACCTTTCTTGAGCATGCTAGTTTTGGCCATTGAGAGGACAAAGCTGTTTGTACCATCCCTGATTTTATTTCATTTCTGCACCAGTAAGACTTGCTGTGACTTAATATAAAGTATAAATATATATAGTCCAGTCATTTCTATTATTTACTGTCACTAGACCCTTTCTGG